GTGACTACATCATTCATATTAAAAAAAAAATAAATAAAGCACCGAAAATATCTCCATAATAAGTCCCACTAACTGGGGTGCTAGAACTCCTTTTTTGACATGTTGGGATGTTAGCCTGTCCCGACAAGCTAACATCCCAACATGTCATAGGACTAATATCGTAAATGTCAACAACAAAAAAGAGTTCTAGCGCCCCGGTCAGTGGGATCTTGCGTTACTTTTATCTTAGAAATTAGATTATCTATCGCATATATTCTGACGTTTGATTTTGTTATTGCAGATTTGCAGGATTTATAATTTTGGAGAAATAAATATATATTTATATATTTTTGTGAGGTGCAACTACAACCCTCAGAGTTATTTGAATTATTATTAATGTAGGGTCAAAATACACATCCTTTTGATAATAATAACTTGGGTGTCTGCAGCTGCAGTGGTGGCATAGCCATGGGGCGGGGGGGGGGGGGCATTGGGGGGGACAGCCCCCCATGAAATCTTGTCGGCCCCCCCAGTTGCCCCCCCCCCCCTCCCCTGAGATTTTGAGGCCGCGAACTTACGTGCAAAGTGTTGTGTTAATTATATTTTAAAAAGCGTTTTGTTCTAAATTTTGTAAATTGGTTTCTTTAGCAAATACACTCCCAGAAATGTTTTTAAGTATTTCACCCCCCCTGCCCGAGTACGCTTTATTTGTGACGTAAGGGGCCATTCAGAATTTTCAATGTTTTAAAATTTCGATCTTTTTTTCCAAATGTGGGTGGGTGGGTCAAGCTAAATAATTGAAAATCGAAATTCACTTTCCATGGAAAAAAGATTTAAAAAAACAAAGAAAGATATATCTTTTGACTTGCCTGAACTACGCGCAAGCGTTCCGATATCGCGATGCGTGTTTCTTTTCCAACTTCGTCCCCTGTATGTACTGTCAGTGGCGTAGCCAGGAATTTTTCAGTCGGGGGGGGGGGGGGGGGCTGGGGGGCTGGAACATTTCATGGGGGGGAGGGGGCGTCATGTAGATCAATGATATTTTTTTTAGAAACTCAAAATCTCACTGGCGGAGGCGAATGGGGGGGGGGCGACAAGGTTTCATGGGGGGGGGGTTTCATGTCGCCCCCACGCCCCCCCCCCCCGTGGCTACGCCACTGCAGGTCATACAGTTAAAGTTTATGTGAACTTGTGTGAAAAGTCACAGAAAAGTGACTTTTTATGTTCGTCTGTCGGTCTTGTATGCTGTTATGTTTACTTTTATGTACTTTCAATGGTACTATGTTTAATTAACCTGTTCATTTGGTTAATTAAACTAATAACGCACATATAGTTGCCACATATGGCACTAACAAGTTTGAGGTCGGCAATTTCGTCTTTAACAATCTGGGTACGTCGGGTTACCGTACACACAGTTGTCCTGGAAACAACAGTCCCAAAGTACAGAAAGTCGTACGCAAGAGCTCCCCAGCAAGTATCGCTGACGCCATTATGATTCCAAAATTTCTCACTGTGTCACACAGTGAAATAACTAAACAGCGTCGTTGTATTGTGAACACATAAAAGCATTCAAGTCGCGTTCTTGCACACTTTCTTCATGTCGACATAGATATCCTTGAACCACTGCCCCCGCTTTGCATAACAAGTGCACATGAACGAACGATTCGACTTTTATTCAAAGAAATTTCTATGTACAGTCACCAGACTCTATTCAGTAAAGTCCCCGTCAAAACGAAAGTAAACAATCCACGTGCATAACGCACGGCTACACCATCGTACAGTGTGGCAGGGACACCAACAAGTAACACAACAACTATTTTTTTTTTTTAAATTGATAAATATTCTGATTGAATTTCGTTAAAAGATACTTGTTGGTGAGGTATCAAATATTCTAGCAAATTGATAAAAATGTACAATATTACAATATGCAATTTTGAGGGAAATGGGCAAAATACTGCATAAATAATTTCACTTGATAATATTCACAATACACAAACCGACAATTTTCATTTTCAGACCCACAACGAGAAATATTGTTAACACTGGGCTTATTGTGAGGAGTTGTGCTGGGAATCCATGAAGATGTTATTTTCAACATAATTTCTAAACAATTTAATGGGACATTCCGTGACATGAGCCTTCCAGATGAAAAGTTTGTAAGTGCACACCAATACATAAATTCCCATAGGCACCAAAGATAAATACCCCAATTTAAACAAATCGGGGAACATACTCTGAACCCTCACAGGTGATCAAAACATACATCAAATGAAAGCTGAATTAATCCTCTTCACCTTTTTGGAAATCTTTTTTTTTGGGGGGGGGGGGGCTTGACTTATGACTTTTAGGTGATTTTTCCCTCCAACGATGATCACCCATCGCCATTTTGAAAAAAAAAAAACAAAAAAAACCCAGATTCCTTCCACTCCATATCAATAAAGATTCCATTCAAATGTTTTGTTCAGAAATCCAAATTCAGGAACATGGACCCTTCACTTCTACAAATACAGACCCTCAAGTGCAGGGGGCAACATTCTTTATTATTACAGATAAACTAGTATACAAATCGTAATTTGGCCGGATTAGGTCGCGCCTATTTGGGCTGCATCTCATATGTACTGCGATCGGGAAATCTCCGGCGTAATAAAGACTTGAAGAAACTTTATTTGATTTATTTGATTCAATTATTTTATTTTAAATCTTAAAACATAAAATAAAAGCTAAAAGTTGGACAGGCTGCCACGGATATGTAAAAGTAAAAAAAAACAATTGTCATCAGACATTTATCCAAACCCCTGCCAATAAAACAGATTTAAAATTCCATTTATAAAAATTAAAGTACTATTGAAAAGTAAATTGTACAAATCATACGAGACGAGACATGACAAGACATAACGAGACGACACAAGATGGGGAGATGAGACAAGACTCTGCAAAAAAATCATAGAGTGAAACATTGGACAAGCCAGACAGATACAAAAATATAAAAACGAACTAATAAATAAATACTCTTACACCCCAACAAACAACAAACAAACACAACAAACAACCAGACTCAATAACGGGAATGAATGACGAACGGGCTAAAAATATTATTACAAACAAAACATAACAAAACCGAAAACAAAAGCAATCCCATTCCCAAGAGAGAAAAATGCAAACCATAAAAACAAATAACCTAGGTGACATACATAGGTCTACACTCACATTAAATACACACACTAAAGAAACAACAAGAAAATACCCGGGAAAAAAATGAAATAAGACACAATTTTACATTGACGATAAAATAAATATGACTGCAACAATTCCTCCCTCAGTTTTGAAAGAAAAGATTCACAACCTTCCATAGTTAAAACTTTTTCTAATTCTAACACGGTGACTTCGGAGAACATCAATGAGGCAATTGAACAGTTCTCTTATCTTGTAATCCATGTGTCTATCAGTTCTAAGTTTCAAGTGCTGAAACGTTAAAGGCTGTGCGACGGAGCTGCCCTGCAATTCATTCCTGAAATTATTGTTGCATTCCCTATTAGTTCATTAACTTTATATTAGAATCAACATTATTATCGATGATAACGAATTTGGCGGGAAACAGAGCTTTCACACAGTGACTTTACTGGTTTATTTAACTTCGTGGGGATTCCTCCAACGTCAGGCTTTTCCTTGGTTTCAACACCGGTGTCGGAGTCTCACAACACTAACTGGGGGAACCAAGTATGCTAAAGATTTTAGCTGAACCGAGTGGCACGGTGCGAGGTTTCGCTTCGCAGAGACGGCCGGACTGAAGCGGGAGCGGAACGCTACAGTGACGGGGAAGCAACAGCTGGACGGGGCCAGCGAGTTTACCGGATCACACTATAGTTCGAGCCATGGTGTGCATAGTCAACCGTGGCCAGTGGCGTAGCCAGGAATTTTTCAGTGGGGGGGGGGGGGGGGGGGGGGGGGGGGGGGGGGGGGCTGGAACATTTCATGGGGGGGGGGGGCGTCATGTAGATCAATGCTAATTTTTTTAGAAACTCAAAATCTCGGGGGGGGGGGGGCGACTGGGGGGGGGGGGGGGGCTGGGGAGGCTGTCGCCCCCCCCACGCCCCCCCCCCCCCCCCGTGCTACGCCACTGTGTACTGTACATGTACGTCATGTAGGCCTACGTGTATCCAATCGCTATAAAACTGGACTATTCAACCACTGGACTCCAAGACTACGAGGACCGCAGCCTGTGATGTGATGTCTGCCCAAACCTGATGTTTTCTTTCGCTCGTACTCCCCGCCCTGCAAACAGGGCGGGGGGGGGGGGGGGGGGGGACACGAGCGAATATTTTTCTCAGCTACCTCACGTGACAGGCACAACCTCGTATGTCACATATCATCCACCTCATCCAGAAAACGACAAAACCACGGTCATCTCTGTGGCTTCCAAAACTGCAACCTGTCATTCCCAACAGCATATCAGCTGGCAAGACACAAAAAAACTGAAGGTCACCAGTGCAAAAGAGGAAGACCGACAACTTCACGCCGTCACTGAACTAGACACACATGTACATGGTGTTCAAGTACATGTACATGCAAGTGCATGTACATGTTCAGTTTTTTATTAATCGAAATTACGGGTGGGTGGGTGGGTCAAAATAATTTGGAAAAAAAGTCGAAATTTTAAAACATTGAAAATTCTGAACGGCCCCTAAATAACACGGGCAAATAGATCTCAACATGTATTTATAAAAAGTAAATGCATTTATTTAAGTTCACAAAAGGTAGGCCTAAGGCTTTTGGTGTTCCAATCTTTCAGTTTAAAAAGTCTATGCTCTCCACTTGGGGGATCATTGGGTTAATACTCCCATTGGTCATGTTTGTGTTCTTAGGCAAGGCATTTTATCATACTTTCGTTATAAATGTATACTTGGGAACATATTGCAAGCCTATTAAGGTAACATTTCTCTGATTTCCTCTTTTTACGTAGTTACGATCAACTTTTCAAAATCATCATCGCAAAGCAATTACCAGCACCTTGCAAGAGCACCATGTCTGGCCAAGCAAATGAGACAAATAGCTGTACTGTAGAGTTGCCGTTAGAAGACACGAATGCTTGTCAGGAAGATCGTCGTCACGGGAACATGTTTTCCAGTACAACAGATCAAGTTATTGGGGGCGACATCTCTTCAGATAATCGGAGGGAAGCTTCAGATGCACCCGGAGAAGAAGATGAAATTGAAGCATTGCCTGATGCTCTCCGCACTGCTGATGATGGTGGCAATGATCCAGCTGACAGATCAGTCGAACACAAGATGGAACCCGAGTGGCACTTGATTCGCATAGCTTACGTTTGTCTGATAGGTTTTATTTCATATCTCATTTTTGAGCTGTTTGTTTTGGGTTATATGTTCCATGTAGATTTTCCTTCGGATGCCTCCTTAACAGCCTCCATTGTAGTTCGTGTTGCTGATGCTGCTCTTATGAGTGCATGTATCTTGACCGATGGCAAAACAAAACGACACTTCAGAGGAGTTTTCTCGGCAATAACTAAGAAGCGAAAACAAGTGTATATTGCTGCTGTATTGTTTTTTAGTGGTTTCATTTGTGTTGCTTGTTTGTTTACTTCACCGATAGCTTTTGTTGCTGTCACTGTTGTAATTAGTTCTTTAGTTTCTGTTGCAATTTTAAAGAAGCCAAGTATTAAAAGGTATGCTTGTAGCCGTGCAGTGGAATGCATTCTACTGATATCAGTAGCTGTGAGTGTATGTTTCTATTTCCTTATGCCGCAGGCTTTTAGTACTGGAGTAGGTTGGTCTGGTGTCGTTTTCATGTTTGCCAGTTTTCTTTTTTATTTAGTTTTTCTTGTTGCATTCATTATTGTTAGTGCCAAGCAAATCTTTTTGTATATTGTCACCAAATTTCGGGATGAAGGAAATCGAAGTGCAAAAGAAGAGGAATGGGGTTATGTTTGCCTGGCCAGCCTCCTTATCGTCGCTGTTTTCATTATTGTATGTTATATTAACAATTATTTTCCATATTTGATAGTTTCTGCTACTGTTAATGCTGTTGTCTTTCCTGCTGCTGCAGTTTGCAGGAAAGAGCAGCTTGCAGCAGTTTTTAGAAGAAGGGGCCCAGAATGTAGGAAAACCACACCTAAACAAAATCTGTCAGTGGTTGACAGAATACTCGAAGAAGGGAGGTTGGAATCTAAAACAAATGCCATGGGGGTTGTCGAAAAAGCACAAGAACTCCCAACAGATCCTGATGAGGCTCCTCAATGTGTGAACATCCAGGGAAATGGCAACAAGGTTGTATCAGTTCCACCTGGGTATCAAGGCAATCTGACTGTCAATTTTTCATAAATACATTCCACATTTGTCCGTTCATCTTCATGAACATAACTGACTCAAAAATGGAAAGACGCTTTTTTGATTTTAATACATTTTTGGCGGACACAAATTACAAGCAAATTTGTTCCCCCTTGTTTTGTGGAACAACGAACAACATAAGTGACAAATTGTGGCAGCAAAGTTTATCAAATATAAAGTGCATCGCATTTTTTGTTTGCATTGTCAGAGTCTACCTGAAACTGAGCAATTTATCAACTTTCATAATTTGTAAATAGGTTTAGGTCTGCTCATATTTTGTGGAATTTCGTCTTTAAATTAGTGTACCCCTGAAAGCAAAAATGAAAAAGTAGATAAATATTAACGGCTTTTGGATGCCAGTTGGGAACTTGACTAAATAGCTGTCATTAAAATCTTCTAGAAAACAAAGAAATTGTCGAGACCTTTTTAAACTTTCCTTTTTAAAAGTAATATGTATTAAAACAGTAAACAGCCATCATAGACTTTTGCAGAAAATTAAGTTTCAAGACTTGAAAAGTTGTATGATGTTTCAAAAAGCAGCAATTATTAGTATCAGCTTTATCTTCTTTTGTTTCATTTTTCATGATCATGTGGATTTTTTTCTTGATCATGGTATGTCCCCAGCTGTATATAGCACACAAAACTTGTATGGTGTAATATATTATTTCTCTGGTAGTTATAGTTTGAAGTGTTGACAATTGTGTTGGGGTAGAAAGTAAAAATATAATTTTGCATTTTGCATTAGAATTGTTTGTTTTTACTCAGTTCTTTTCACTTCGTTTTTAATCACTTTGTTCGTGATTTATTACTGATTGCTTTTTCTATCTGACTGAAATTCATGGCGTTGTCAAAAACAGAGCAAAAGAGGAACAGCTTTTAAAATAGTGAAGAGTACGAGAATGAACAGGATTACTGTACATATACAAATCAGTAAATAAGTCACAATATTGAAATTGTTATTTTTAAACACTCCATTGGAAATAGATACATTTGATGTTTAAAACAATAACTTTTAATAAAAGTAGCAATCAACCTGTTCGGCCAAAAAAAAAAAGGTCGGTCTCTGGTCAGCGCGCCGTCGATTTTAATCATGCGCGTCGATCTTTTGTTTCCCCAAAATGTTCCGCGGTAGCTCCAACAGCGTCCTCTATTTCCGCACCTCCTCAATTTTTTTTTACCAAAGAGCACCAAGGAATGGGAAATTGCACCAAGGCAAATGATCGAAAGCACCAAGGCAAATTATGGAGGACACCATGTACATGAGGACACCAAAAAAGCAAAATAGTACCCACCTTGTCTGTACAATCCAAGCTTGAAGAAAAGAAAAAAAAAGCAAAAAAAATAAAAGAAGCCGCGTGGCCGCGTCAATTCGGGAACTTCGGTCTGACCAGAGACCGAATATAAATATTTTTTTGGCCTTACCTTCAGACAATTGCACAAGTGAAGAGCTCATTTGCAAAAACAGTTATGTGAAAATGATCCATTTTTCACCTTTCGAGAAAATTCGCTTTAAAACAAAACAGAGCCAGTTACTTGTGCACAAATTTGGACTGCCCATTACACCATATCGAACTCTTGTCTATTTGTATTTGAAAAATGATTTTAGGTGTTCAGGCAAAATATTAAGTTGGTTGATTTTCTCCAATTTTGTAAAATTGGCTTTTATCTGCTTTTTTTCAAATGTGCTCTTCAAATGCATTGCTTAATTTACTTACATATGAAAAAGTAAGTTCAGAAACTGCTTCATATAATTGTTAAAATGTAAATTATAAATATACACAGCAATGTAACGAGGTGGTGTAAATAGCAAATGGTCATTCCACTTGAAGAATTTCAAATTAGCATTGAAAGCGAGGCTAATAATGCTCCCTTCAGGGGATAAGATTGAAGGTGAAAGGTTCTCAATGTCCTACAATGGCTTAGCAATGGGAGCCTCGCTTTGGATTCTAATGGAAAATGTGTTTTTGTTTCTGCTGTTAACTTAGTTGGCCGACTAAAACAACACATTCTTACAAAATGCAGTTTTACAAAATGATTATAGAATTATGTTGTTAGTCTCTGCGATGATTATGTAATTAAAGAAAACATGGCGTTACGTGTGGGACAAAAGGGACCTTTTCTTGGACTTCCCCTGCAGTAGAAATAGTTGCATTTCATTGTACTTATGTTTTTTCATGTAGTGTAAGAACATTTTGTAGATAAATGAAAATACAAATCATTTTGGAACTAATAAATATAATGGTTGGCCATCAAGGAAAACACGTTGTCTCAAAGTGGTTTTCATTCATTTGATTATCATTCATTTTTTGAAATGTTGGTGCCTAAAGGACCAAAGTGTTGCAGATATATTTTGCTCAATAGGGCCTCGATGTTGTTTGGTAGCAATGTCCCCTTTTTAAAAACATTTGTGTCCCGACAGCGAATAAATTTTGTTAAGAAGGCGATAAGAAATTCGATATGCCAATTAGAACCCCATGCTTTTGCTAGGCGTGCATCACTGAATCCAATGCGGCAGCGAACAACACACAACTCAGCCAAAGATGTTAGATATGCAAATTATAGCTCCCACTTTTAGGCCGAATATAAAAAAAACCCATGTTTCTCGTCCGGGTTTTTGAAGAAAAGGAGGAAGCGGGGTTTTTTATTTTTTATTTTTTTATTTTCTTCAAGATGGCCGCCAATTTAAAATTTCATGCAACCGTTGGTGTTTGCATCAAAGACGCTTTTAAAATGAAAGACAAGTTGGACAAGAGAACATAATTACAGTGTCATTTAGAGTTGTGTTGGTCTACAATGAACAGTTTTAGAGTGCATTTGACCTTTTCGGTGTTTTTTGACTGCATTTTTCAAAAATAAAAAAATAATAAAAAAATCCAGAAGACCTCCAAAAAGGAAGCGGGCGGGGACGCGTCGAGAAACATGGTTTGTTTTTTTACTTCGCCTTAGTACTGAAAACTATATGTAACTGCAGCCTCTGTAAAACCTATAGGGCGCCCTCTTTTGACAACTAGGATTGTACTTGTTGAAAGCACATTGTTTTTAGTAGCCATTTTTATTGCATGTTGTAAATTGTACTCCAGAGCATCTAAAAGGACCGCCAGAACCTGATTGTTTTTAAGGCCTAAATAACCCCCTGAAGAAGCAAGGAGGTATTGTTTAATGATTACTCATATCATTGAGGACTTTCTAGAGTCTTTTGAAGCTTTAGTTTATTCAGTTTTTATAAGAAAAGCACTGGACTCTCATTTATATGTTATTTGCATGTTAACATAGTGTAATTCCATGATATTGAACTTTGTATTTGGATTTGTTCTTGTAATTGCAGTTTTCACGGAGCTTTGCCAGTTCATGTTTCGTATTCAATGGATGGAACTGTAGCCTTGATCACAGAGCCTCAATTATTGGAGATTATTTGAACTTGAGCCTGTGTGTTGATCCCTGATCCTTGAATCTTTGTTCTGTATTGGAGCTGTGTTACCATACTGAAGTGAGAGCTTTACAATACATTCATGAAACAGCAAGCTTCTGTCGAGACCCTTGTTTATTTGTCTTCATCTTATTTTGCGAGACACTGCGCCCCCTAGTGGCACACCTTAACATAGGCCACCGACTTCATGCGAATCGATAAGGCTGCCGCTACAGTGAAAACTCCGAACATAACTTGAAATCATCAGGAACTACGAGATTAGCCTGTCCTCATTTGGAACCTGGAATGCTGAAACATCTTGAGACGAGACTTTCTACCAACTCACCTTAAATCCATCCTGGCTTTGATGTGTTTCCTGCGAACAACCGGAACTACATGTACCTGTCATTCCTGTGTACTACGAGTGCGATAGTTTTGCGAATTTTCCTCTCACCGCGTAGGAGAGAGGGATCATTCTCTGAAGCTGTATTCTGAACTGCTGGTCCCAAGAACTTATTTGAAATAACTTTTGTTACACAATCAAGTTAATTTGTGTGTCTTGCATATAGTTATTGTAGATTTGCATCACAAATTGTAAGCATAAAATGGGAATGTTTCCATCAGCAGTAATTGTGTAACATATAGACTTGCATATTGCAGTATTGCGGAATTACAGTATTGCGGAATTACATTTGCTCATCATTGTATCATAACGTGTATTGTACATGCGTTTCATACATAACCTTTTGTATATGTAAACAAAAATGGGTTTGTGTATACTGTACAACATACATGTATCTTGTACGTTTAACCACTGTTTATATGATGGTGCATACTATTAATATGAATGTACATTGATGCGCACACTTTCACTTGGAGGTTTATCCCAGTACAGTAAATAGGTTTTGGCCATGTCACGCACAGACACAGATGAAAGCAATGCTGCGACTGCCCAGGCTGAGGGAGGTGAGGATGGAAATGGAGTCGAAACCGCCCGAGAAAGACAACTCACAGAGAAAGGTTTACTGTGGCAAGTCAGCCTACATGAGCGGAGGTTCCGAAGTTTCCTGTCAGCCTGGCATAGATGTGCCAACCAATTGGAGGAATTATTATCAGATTCAAATCAAGTCTCTGCAATTAAAGCTGGACGAGATGCCATGCATAAAGCCATGCAACAGCTGCAGGAATCAAGTCACCAACTTGAAGAATTGCAGGCAGCAGAATATTGGGTCAGTGAACTTTGTAGAAAATATGAGAGGACTGAAGAGGAAAACAATCATCTTGTGAAAAGAGCTTGCGAACGCATCATCGACCTTGAAGATAATCTGCGTGAGATGAGATCCAGAATGTCTGAAAAAAGTCATTATTCAAGACGATCTGCAAGCTCGAAAGGTTCCGGTGCTATTGACAGAGCTGCTATTGCTGCTGAAGCTGCAGCCCTTAAAGCCAAGCTGAAATTCGCTGACATAGAGGCAAACAAACGAGCAGAATTGGAACTTAAGAAAGCAGAACTCGAGCAACTAAATACAATGAAAGACTTGCACGCTGCAGAGGCAACGTTAGAGGCAATTGATCTGGCACAAGACCAACACTTGTTTGGCTCCCAAGGGAGTCTGGCTGGTATACCTGCACAAGAGAAAAGTGCCCTTGTTGCAGATTACTTGATGAGACAAGGGAGCTTGATACTTCAAAGGGTGTTACTAACGACACAACACCTGCATTTGGCATGAAGCCACCGGCAGATGCGAACAACCATGCGAACAATTCTCCAGTAGAGATGTCTCACATGTTGAGCAGCCAATGACAGGATCTTCGATGTGCCACCCTCAGACCATGCAAAATTCAGACAAGTGTGGAGCCACTAAACCTGCCAGCAACTCTCAAAGCACTACTGAGTACACGAACAATTCACCACCTCTTGCAGTCACATCTACAACCCAAGTACATACTACTGAAGCGGTTTCAAACGAACCACAACAGCAGCTGATAGACTTTACCAAGTCCCTTGCGAAGCAACTGAGCTTAAGTCGGCTGCCCCCTCCAGAACCAGGAGTGTTTGTGGGTGATGCACTTAAATATCCCAACTGGAAAAGTGCATTTGAAACACTGATTGAACAACGTGGGATCCCCTCATCAGAGCAACTCCATTACATGAAGAAATACACTGGAGGTGCAGCAAGAGAGGCAATCGAAGGCTACTTCTATCTCACTACCGACGATGCATACAACCAAGCAAAGAAACTACTAGAGAAACGCTATGGGGATCCATTTGTCGTCGCAAATGCCTTCAGGAACAAACTGGATTCTTGGCCAAAGATCCCCACTCGTGATGGAATAGCCCTGCGAAACTTTGCGGATTTTCTGAGACAGTGTGAAACCGCCACAAGGAGCATTGGCACCTTAGATGTTCTCAACGATGAACGCGAAAACAGAAAGATGCTCTCAAAACTCCCTGACTGGTTAATCAGCCGATGGGCCAGAAAGGTTGCGGATAAGAAGGAAAAAGATGGAAAGTTTCCTACCTTTTGTGAGTTTGCTAAGTTCATTGAAAAGGAAGCAAACGTTGCGTGCGATCCCGTGACCACCCTGCAAGGCCTGAAGGGAGATGACAAACGATACAAGTCTTCAGAATCTCACAGCAAGCCTGACAAGAATGTCGGAAAACGAACTCCAGGAGCTAATTCCTTCCCTACCAGAGTAGATGAGTCTCCATCCAAGGGACAGAAGGGAAACCACATGCAGCAATGGAAGGAGTGTCTTCTATGCAACAAGACCCACTACCTAGACTCCTGTCCTATCTTCCTGTCGAAGGAAATAGGCGAGCGTAAGGAGTTTGCAAAGAAGAAAGGCTTATGCTTTGGATGCTTGTCAAAGGGGCACATGTCAAAGTACTGCCGACAAAGACTGATCTGCAGAACTTGCTCTAAACACCACCCTACATCCCTGCATGGCGACACCAAGGAAGAGGTCAAGATAAGTGTGAACTCAAGTGCAGAAGGAGCCCAACAAGAACATAAAGCAGTCAGCTCAAACACTCGAATAAGTCTCTTTAGCGGAGTTGAGGATTGCAGCCAGAGCTCAATGACTGTTCCCGTATGGATTTCCCATTGTGATCGACCAGGACATGAGCGACTAGTCTACGCATTACTGGATACACAATCTGATACCACATTTATCCTAAGAGACACATGCGATGCTCTTGGCATGGATGGACCAAAGGTTCATCTTCTGCTTTCTACCATGACTGCAAAGGAGCAGAGGGTATCAAGCCGCAAGATTAATGGACTGCTCGTGAGAGGATACAACAGTGAGACCAAGATTCCACTACCGAGTACATACTGCAGAGAAGCCATCCCAGCTAATCGTGATCACATACCGACGGCAGACATGGCCAGAAAATGGCCTCACCTCGAAGGAATGGCAAATCACCTGATGCCTGCAACGGAATGCGAAATAGGTCTCCTGATTGGGTACAACTGCCCACGTGCTCTTGCGCCACGTGAAGTCATCCACCCAGCAGAAAGCGGCCCATACGGTCAACGAACAGACCTCGGATGGTCTATTGTTGGCATTGTCAACCCTCACTTTGGAGAAGACGAGGGAAATGACCCCATAGGAATCAGTCACAAGATAGTCACCTGCAAGGTGCACCCTTTGTCGGAAAATGATCAATCGACAAGTAAGCACGTGATCTTTTCTATCAGGAACAAGGTAAAGGAAATCACTCCAACTGAATTTTCACAGATGCTGGAGTTGGATTTCCCCGAGAAGAAACCAGACGATACCAACCTGTCACAGGAAGACATCCAGTTCTTGGACAAGATCAGAAATGGTATCCATCAACGAAATGATGGTCACTATGAAATGCCATTACCATTCCGTGGGTCTGAACCGGATCTCCTGAATAACAGATCGATGGCACTGCACCGCCTCGAACTTCTCAAGACTCGCTTCAAGAAGAATCTCACGTACCACTCGGACTACACTAACTTTCTACAGGACATCATTAGTAAGAACCATGCGGATGTCAGCAAATCAAGTGGAGTGTGGTACATACCACATCATGGGGTTTATCATCCCAAGAAACCGGGGAAGATTCGCGTGGTGTTCGATTGCAGTGCACAGTATAAGGGAGAGTCCTTGAATGACCATTAACTTCAAGGCCCAGACCTAATGAACAGCCTCGTCGGGATACTCTGCAGATTCCGATTGCGTCCAGTGGCATTCATGTGCGATGTCGAACAGATGTTCCACCAGTTTAAAGTCGAAGCAAGGCATAGAGATTATCTGCGATTCGTATGGTGGAAAGATGGCAACTTCAACAACGAATCCACAGAATACCGAATGGGTGCACACCTCTTCGGTGCAGTTTCATCACCCGGATGTGCAAACTTCGGCCTGAAACAGATCGCAGAAGACTACGAAGCTAAGTACGGCTCTGATGCTGCAGACTTTGTTCGACACAGCTTCTATGTTGACGACGGCCTAAAGTCAGTCTCGTCCACATCTGAAGCTGTCACCTTGATTAGACAAACCAAAGAAATGTGTGCACAGGGCGGACTACGACTGCACAAGTTTATCTCGAATTCCAGAGAGGTCATGGAAAATGTCCCACAGGAAGACCAAGCCAGTAATGTGAAAATTCTTGACCTCCTCCACGATGCCCTTCCCATAGAAAGAGCACTTGGAGTTGAATGGTGTGTGGAATCTGATGCATTCAACTTCTGCATTATCTTGCGAGACAAACCTTTGACGAGGCGTGGAATTCTTTCCACCATCTGCTCCATCTACGATCCTCTTGGCTTCGTTGCTCCAGTCATGTTGGTGGGCATACTCATTCTTCAAGACTTGTGTAGAGTTCAAGTTGACTGGGACACCCCCTTGAATGACGAAATGAGATCACGCTGGGAAAAGTGGAGAAAGGACCTACCTCTTCTAGAGAAACTCAAGATTCCACGATGTGTTTGTCCAGAGAAGTTTGGGAAGGTGATTGCTACAGAAATTCATCACTTCTCTGACGCGAGTGCTTTTGCTTATGGTCAGTGCTCGTATCTCCGTCTCATTGACGACAAAGAGAATGTCCACAGCACATTGATAATGGGAAAGAGCAGGGTCACTCCTCTTAAGCCCATTACCATTCCTCGTCTGGAGTTGACCGCTGCTGTCGTCTCAGTGCGAGTCAGCACCTTACTGCAAAAGGAGCTCGACCTAGATGCCGTAACCGAAGTCTTTTGGACAGACAGCAAAGTGGTTCTAGGCTACGTCAAGAATGAATCGCGACGGTTTCATGTGTTTGTTGCCAATCGGGTGCAACAAATAAGAAGTCGCTCTGATCCTAACCAGTGGAAACATGTGGGGACGAAGGAGAACCCGGCAGATGAAGGATCTCGAGGTTTGAGAGTTGAGGAAATTCTCACCTCGAAATGGCTGAAAGGGCCAGACTTTCTCTTGGAAAGAAAACTACCACCTCAAGAATCAACCGAATATCAGACTTCTCCAGAAGATCCAGAAGTAAAGAAGACAAGCGTGCTGCTGGTGCAGACAGTGAAATCTGCCGTAGAGCTTGAGCACTTCTCCAAATGGCGCTCTCTTAGACGAGCCATAGCAGGATGTCAGAAGTTCATGTCTCGACTGATGGAGGCTGTAAAGGACAAACGTGGAGAGTTGACTGAGAGTTACAAGTCAGAGGCCAACCTTCTTCCTCGCTATTGCCCGGCGTCTGTTGAAGACCTGCAGCGATCCGAACGAACTATCATCAAGCTTGTACAAAGCGAATCCTTCCCAGAGGAGATACGGATACTCACCAGTCTAAATGTCAACGATGGCGACATAGATAGACACCTTGCACGGAAGCGGAACAAGTCCATGAAGCGTACAAGCTCACTCTTCAGGCTGGACCCCTTCATCGACAACGAAGGCATCTTGCGTGTTGGAGGACGTATCAGAAAGGCAGACATGTCATTCGAATTCAAACATCCAGCCATCCTTCCAAGAAGACACCACGTCACTAGCCTGATAATCCGTCATTTTCATGAGCTAGCAGCTCATCAAGGTCGTGGTACGACGACAAATGCCATACGGTCAAATGGATTCTGGATACTGGGATGCAGTGCTGCAGTTGCCACTCAGATCTCCAATTGTGTCAGATGCCGAAAGTTGTATGGAAAGGTGCAAGAGCAAAGGATGGCCAACCTACCTGATGAGAGACTTCAGCCAGCACCTCCCTTCACGTTTTCCGGTGTAGACTACTTTGGTCCATGGCTGATCAAGGAAGGACGGAAGGAGCTTAAGCGTTACGGGGTACTCTTCACTTGTTTGGCCTCCCGAGCCATCCATATTGAGGTTGCCAACTCGTTGACTACAGACTCCATTATAAATGCCTTACGCCGATTTACAGCCATACGTGGCCCAATGCGGGTGCTAAGGTCTGACCAGGGAACAAATCTAGTTGGCGCAAGGTCAGAGCTAAAGCGAGCACTAGAAGAAATGGATCATGACAGGTTGCGACACTTTCTCATTGAAAGAGGGTGCGACTATCCAGAATTCAAGATGAATGCTCCTACAGCTAGTCACACTGGGGGCGCATGGGAAAGGCTCATTCGGTCCGTGAGAAGAGTTCTCCAAGCTCTCATGGAACACTCGGGAACCCAGTTGGATGATGAGTCTCTCCGAACCTTCATGTGCGAAGCAGCAGCAATAGTGAATAGCAGACCATTATCGGTAACCACTCTGAATGAGTCCACCGCCTTAGAACCTCTGACACCCAACCACTTGCTCACTCTGAAATCAAGTGTTGTTCTGCCACCTCCTGGCGAGTTTCAGCGTGTCGATGTCTACTCCCAAAAACGTTGGCGAAGAGTGCAGTATCTAGCCAATGAATTTTGGAATCGCTGGAAAGGGGAGTTTGTGCAGAATCTTCAAGCAAGACAGAAGTGGACACGCAGGGTACCTGACGTCCAAGTCGGAGATGTTGTCCTGATTGTTAACAACAATCTACCCCGAAACCAGTGGCAACTTGGTAGAATCTCCGAAGCTATTCCTGGTACTGACGGCCAAGTCAGAAGAGTGAAGCTTGTTGTTGCCGACAGATCCTTAGATGTCAAGGGCAAACGAACACGACCAGTGACAACCCTGGAACGCCCCATCCAGAAGCTTGTCGTGCTTCTTAAGAGTCAGGAACACTGGGGATTCCCCATCGGGGAGCCTTAGTCCCAATTTAGAGTTTCTTGTTGATGAGTTGTGTTTGACCAGTGTTCGAATTATTGAACTTAGATTTGAAGAGCTCTTTAACTACTTGTGTTTTTAGCAAGTTATTGAACAGTAGTTTATACCTTTTGATCTTAACATGTAAGTGACGAGTAGGAATAGATATTCAATGTCAGTTTGTAAGGCTTTGAAATGGAAAAATTAGAAGTCACTAATTTTGGGGAGCCATGTGACTGCAGTCTCTGTAAAACCTATAGGGCGCCCTCTTTTGACAACTAGGATTGTACTTGTTGAAAGCACATTGTTTTTAGTAGCCATCTTTATTGCATGTTGTAAATTGTACTCCAGAACATCTAAAAGGACCACCAGAACCTGATTGTTTTTAAGGCCTAAATAACCCCCAGAAGAAGCAAGGAGGTATTGTTTAATGATTACTCATATCATTGAGGTCTTTCTAGAGTCTTTTGAAGCTTTAGTTTATTCAGTTTTTATAAGAAAAGCACTGGACTCTCATTTATATGTTATTTGCATGTAAACATAGTGTAATTCCATGATATTGAACTTTGTATTTGGATTTGTTCTTGTAATTGCAGTTTTCACGGAGCTTTGCCAGTTCGTGTTTCGTATTCAATGGATGGAACTGTAGCCTAGATCACAGAGCCTCAATTATTGGAGATTATTTGAACTTGAGCCTGTGTGCTGATCCCTGATCCTTGAATCTTTGTTCTGTATTAGAGCTGTGTTACCATACTACCATACTGAAGTGAGAGCTTTACAATACATTCTTGAAACAGCAAGCTTCTGTCGAGACCCTTGTTTATTTGTCTTCATCTTATTTTGCGAGACACTGCGCCCCCTAGTGGCACACCTTAACATAGGCCACTGACTTCATGCGAATCGATAAGGCTGCCGCTACAATGAGCATTAAGAGCCTGGAAGTCGACAGTACGTCGTGGTTTGCCATTCTTCTTTGCACAAACTACCATCCTGTGGCACCAGGTGACAGGCTCGCCAATGGGAACTGGCTCAAGCACGCCCAACTGCACGTCATGGTCTAACCCAGCTTTAACGGCATCCTGCCAGTGGAGTGGGACGGGTACCGGTGTATGATGCGCAACCGGTTCGGCGTTGGGATCTACTATCAGTGTCATGGGGGGGGGGGCTGTCCATAAGAGGCAAAGTCTGATGCTCACATGTGTTGAATGTGCTCGAATTGTAGTAGTCAAGGAGATACTGTTGTAGCTTCATACAGTTGGCGTCGATTGCAGGAAACGGCAGTTTCGTTGGGGAAGGTGGGGGTCGCTGACGCCGAGGGCAATGGCAATCTGAGGTGTGGTCTTCCTGTAGGGCTGCTGTCGTGTCCAGCTTGCATGCTTTCTGAGTTAAGCCCATCGTGGGGAAGCCTCCGGAATGATTCCAAGGGCGATGCAGGCCTCTTTGCTGAGGAAGAGCTTGTCAGAACTGTCCGTGACGTAAGTCATTTGCCTGGTTTCAATGACCCGGCCCCGTCCATCTTTGCCTGACAAGCGGAGAACTGTGGCCCCAAGGATCTTGATGCCTCCATTGGTGGCGGTGTGCATCCTCATGGTCACTGGGAGGAGGTCGGATTTACGTAGACCGAGGCGGTGAATGACCTTCATACAGGCGAGGCAACTCTGGCACCCTGTGTCTGCCATGGCGGGGACAGAGCAAGTCATGGTGGGAGTGGGAAGGTCAAAACCGAGGGCTGCGTGGTCTTTCGGTACAATGTTGATGGTTACATCGATGAAAGGTTGTTGCGTTTATCTTTTCCTGAGCCACGTGTTGGAGAGGTTGTCATATACGTGATGGTCTAGGGGAATGTTCAGTCCTTGGTGTGGTTTTTCCAAGTCATTGACAGTAACTAACTCGTCAAATGCACACCCATTGGGGTGTTGTACTGGATCAGAGATGGTACATAAGGCATCAAAGACAGCACCTTCACGGTCGTCAGGAGGGGCGGGTATCGAATGTTTTGGTTTGGCCTTACTGCAGCACACACTCTCCATGTGGTGGTGTTTATCACAATGCCCACACCTGTGGCCATATGCTGCACATTCGGTTTTACGAGCGCGGGCTGGGGCGTTCTTCCCCTGTCCTTTCTTGCCACAGTAGGAGCATGGGTCATGTTTCTCCTTGAGCTTCACGTGCTTGGCTTTTTTGTATGTGCTGCTGGTCGCATCCACTGAGTGTGAGTCTAGTAGTGATGATGCAGACCGTTTGCCTGCCTCTTTAGCTTCAATGAATTGGAAGACTTCCTCCAGGGTCATGTCTTGGTTCTTATCGCCAAGGAGGTCAAGCTGGATTTCAGGGTCTGCGATGCCTCGGGTGAGTACATCCCGCAGGATTGCTTCTGTGTAATTAACGTCAATGTCACAGCCAGGGCATTTTATTAGGAACTTGCAAATTCCTGCTTGACCACGTAGGCGAGCTCCGAAGCTGCGCACTGTTTCATCACGATCCTGACACATATTGTGAAGTGTCACTCTGGCATCCATAGTGTTCTCTTTACGCACAGCAAGTCTTTTTATGGCAGCCAGCACCTCAGTTTCAGATTTGTTGGTGAGGCTACCACCCGCGGATCTTATGAGGTCCTTGCGCAAGGGTTCATCACAGCATTCAAGTACTACTTTGTCCTTGCCGGCTATCTTGGTGGCATCGACGTAATCTGACCACCGTGACTTGAAATAAGCCCACTCTTCACTGGAGCCAGCAGCGGCAATCGTTGGCCTTTTGATCTTCTCAACCTTGGCAGCATGTCCAGAGGTGTGTTCAGCGCTGTGGGCAGTGAGGAGTGCAGCTACGATAGCGGCATCGAGATCCTGAGTGGCGTAGTCACAGCCGGGGATGGGGCATGATACAACAGGCATCGTTATGTCTTAGGGCTTCCGTGTTCATAAATAAGAACGCTGTCTCTTTGTTTTGGTCACTTCAACAATGACCACGGTCTGCAAATAGACAAACAGAAATGTAATATGATTAAGAAAGGTTGGCAATCCTCTAGGGAACATGGGTATTGGGGAACATAGGTACATGTATATATGCTAAAGGATTTGAGAGCATTCGGTTTATCTTTGCAAAGCTCCCAAAAATCAGGGGTTAATTTTTATTCTTCTTAAATGTTGTTTGAACATGTTAAAATAAAACTTTTTATTTGTGAACGACCTGGTGTCACGCCCTCCATTTTTCCTTATTATTGCTTTATTATATGTTATTAGAGGATGATACCTCATTTAATTGTTTCCCCTTTAAATTCAATAAGGGTTCAAAATAAAACATTCTGGTTTATTTTCGGTACTGTTAAAAATCATATCAACATTATTTGGTTTCACAGGATTAGAAGTTCCTTACCTGTTTCTTTATCTAGGTTTATTGTTATCATCCCCCCCCCAAAAAAAAACAGCACACGCACACTCCGCCCAACCCTTTATGTTCGCTGGTATCCGGTAAGTAGTAGCCATTGAACCAGTCAGTTCGGGCGGCCCTATTTTGGTAAAATGATGTATCTCACTTGAAGGACATTTTGAGAAAAAGTGATTTAAAGAATGAAATGTTGTCGTTTTGGTCTTTAGGTCGTCAAGACTGTGAAGCAGTCATTTTCTGATGTCTTGGAACCATTATTTTGTTTACTTACATAATTCACAAAATTTCGTGGATATTTCTAGAGATATATAATGTTTTTGGAAGTTATATCATTTTACTAAAAAGACTTCCAATGGAAAGCTTGGATTTGTTACGCAGTAAAGCTTGGATTTGTTACGCAGTAATAATGTATGTGTGTACATATCATTTGGAATAATCATGAAGAGACGAAACAGTCTGCATTTAAGCCTGTGAAAGGGTAATTTCGTTTAATGATGAAAATAATGCAAATGACTTTCCCCAGTTTACTTACATATCAGGGGAAACAAATGGGATATGTATGAATTCAAACAAACAGTGCTATTTTGGTAAAATGGTGTAAGTCTGACATGCACAAACAATTAACGAGGCTTTAATTACGAAAAAAGTTGTAAGTGAAAGATACACCATTTTACCTTGTTTGTGAGATTTGCAAACACAGATATATGTCACGTATGTCAGACTTGCATTATTTTTCTAAAAAAAAAGCTCCACTAGTTAAGTTTTCCACGGTGAGCTACATATAATATAAGCGCTTCATTTCTTGACTCTAATATTTTCTGAATCGGAAATAGCGCCCTCACTTTACCGGGATTTGACTCTAACTCAAAATCGCCCGAAAATCGACTTACATCATTTTTACCAAAATAGGGCCGCGGGGAATCCCCAAATATTATTGCAACATACTATTTAACATATTATTGTAATACAGCCATAGAGCACCTGATTACCATTTGACTGCAAATGACATTGCCAGTGCAGTGGTCTGCCCGTTTTGTTCCTAAGTGATACTGCTAGTGCTGGTGCTACAATGTTTTCACGGTAAGTATAATTACTATAATCTTCATGCCTATCTCTAATAGAAGTGATTACTGGTATTTCTATTTGTGTGTAAAGATCCGTTAAGTTGGCTAAGCCGAACGGGCACTGTTTCTATATTTTCCTTCCATGGTGTGCTTGCTCGGGTAGTGTGTGGGTGTGGCCTTTCGCGGCGAAAGGCGAAAGTTTCGCCAAGCGAAGCGACTGGATAGAGCGGGAGACCATAAACGCGAGTGGCGAAGGGGGGATCGGGGCCTTTTCCAACTTGTCAAGAAGTCAAGAATTTCTTATGTTTTTCTTTATATTCTCGATTTTTGCTACCCTAAGGCCAAGGCCGGCGGTAGCCCCATAAATGTGGCCAATTTACTGGACTACGTACCTCTGTAAATGTAACGTAGAAAAATGGATCACTAGAGAAAAAACCTGGTTCCAATGATTATGTCGCGATTTAGCTTTTTAAACTGGGACACAAAAAAAAGGAATCAAAGGAAACAAAAATAGACCTAATTTTGGGGCCATTCAGAATTTGCAATGTTTTAAAATGT